TCCCCATCAATGGAGATCAAAAGGTTGTAGAGGAGACCATGAATCAATTGGAAGATCTAACCCCATCATGCAAAGAATCAGAATTTATGGATCTAAGGTATGTTTCCGATTTTATTTTGATGTTCTCATTGATTTCAACATGGATGGTTAATTCGGTAATGTTTGATTATTGATGTTTTGGATCGATAATCACTTATAAGTTTTCTATCAGAAAAAAATTAAAAGAAAAGAAAAGAAAAGAAGAAGAAGAAGAGATTTACCCGGTTAAGGCTACCATGAATATCCAGAAAAAAACTATCCAGGTTACCTTCTTTAATCCATCTCTGCAATATACAGAAGCATCAGTCAAATTAATTAATTATAGGCTAATAAACTATAAGTGAAAATATAATATAAAATGAACCTTTCCCAGTAGAGAGCAAAAGGAAGAACACAAATAGCACCAACTACATTTCGATACGCCAGTAGAGCGAAAAGAAAGGTTCCTTGACTCAGTATAACCCTAGAAAGAAGTTGCAGTCCTGTTGCAATCACTTGTACCACCAGCATGCCAATCAGTACTCTAGCGCTCATTATCGATTTCTTCAGGTTCACCTCCATCTTCTCTCTCTCTCTCTCTCTCTCTCTATATATATATATATATACACACACTTCTCTCTCTAGAATATGGTTTTATATATTCATACTCTCTTAACAATCTTTCTCATCTTCTGCTATAAGGAAAGGAAAATCTTAATTAATGCTAAAGTCCACGTTTCATCAATTTTCTTACTGTCTGAGGAAATTGAAACAGATGTTTTGCATGTATATCTTTCTGTACATGTGTGGTTGAATGATGCGATGAATGTAAGGCAATAGTGTATATAAATGATTCTTCACCCTATAAACCCCTACACCTATCCTAGGTGCTTGTTTGGGTTTGATTATAATGAGGTTACAAGAATAATGTTATCTATCATTAATAGGAATATCCAAACAAGCAATTGCAGGTGTCCCAAACTTGAATGTGCCCGATTCTAATTGAACGAGACTTTTTATCATACCAAGTAGGTGAATTTGTGAAGATCACAACACCTGAATGTTAGGGAAAGGAGAAAGACATGAGCATGTGTGAGTCACTAACAAGAAGGTCGTAAATTTAGGCAAATGAAAATTTGATGAGTTTTTTGTTTTCCTAGTAAACGAGATCTTTGGCTTTTGATCCTCAATTCTCGGTTTTTATTTAAATCCTTAGAATTTTTTGGAACCTACTCGAATTTCCGTTTCTTGACAAAATATGAAAATAATTTGATTTTTGATGTTTTTATATAATGTAATAGGAGGGGGGGATAGATGAGAATGGACACTTGCAGTGTTCATACCACTACCACGGGTGGTCGTTTGATGGGTGTGGGTCTTGTACTCGAATCCCACAGGCAGCATCAGAAGGGCCCGAGGTTCGTGCTGTTAAGTCTCCAAGGGCATGTGCCACCTGATTTCCAAGTATGGTTTCCCAAGGTCTTCTCTTTGTTTGGCCTGATGAGAATGGTTGGGAAAGAGCTCAAGCCACCAAGCCCCCCATATAAATGATCCTTTCTTAACTAATTTGTCGTAAATTTAGGCAAAACATTCCAAAACATTCATTCCGACCAAGTTTGTTATTTTGTAAAACAAAACGTTTAAACCTTAATTCTGGTTTGCAAAACGTGCAACTTTTCATAGATGAATATAGTACAAAGAGTAAAAGGTAATCCTTAGAAAGATTGTTGTTGGCGTTCCTTTTTGCATAATTCTACTTGGCACGTGATGGAATTCGACGGGGTTTCAGAATTTTACAAGATCAATTGCAGATCAACCTAATAGAGCGACCTAGTCCAGATTGATGGCCCGGGAATGAATTTTCAATTGAATTGTCTGAATTTCAACACAGTATCGTAAACATTTGTGCTTATCCACCTATATTAAATTCGATGGGGGAATATCCTAATCATCAAAATTATAAAATAGTTATGAAAAGAATACTCAAATTACACTTCTTCTAAAAATATATTTCCATTGTAGATTGCATCCATTATTCATATCTCACGTCCTTGAATATTATCTAACCTATATTGATTTTGAATGCACATCTCCTATGTCATTACAATTACCACAAGCAGAAATAAATAATGAACTTATTTATTTATGCTATACAATTACTACAAATAGTAATAATGAATTATTTAATTATGTTTCAATTACATACTTTGTGCCATCCCGGAAAGCTACAAAATCGGATTTTGTGCTATTCGTGTAAATTTCCCATTACTCAGGTGCAGAGCTCATTGGGCCAGTTTTGAACTGTATCTCGGCCCTGATCAGACTGCTTAGGGCTTCGCTATAAAATACCTAGCATAATCGCATATGCCCTAATTTCTTCCGCACTGCACGCACACTGCGCACACACAGAGCGAAACAATGAAGACGATACTCTCTTCGGAGACCATGGATATACCAGACGGGGTGAAGATCAAGGTCAAAGCAAAAATGATTGAAGTGGAGGGTCCGAGGGGAATACTGACGCGAAACTTCAAGCATTTGAACTTGGATTTCCAGCTGATCACCGACGAGGAAACTGGGAAGAGGAAGCTGAAGGTGGATGCATGGTTCGGGTCGAGGAAAACCACCGCAGCCATCCGCACTGCTCTCAGCCATGTCAATAACCTGATTAACGGCGTTACTAAGGGATACCGCTACAAGATGCGTTTTGTATATGCTCACTTTCCGATTAATGCTTCTATTACTAATGGTAACAAGTCGATTGAGATTCGTAACTTCCTTGGAGAGAAGAAGGTTTAAACCCTAACCTTTCTAATACTATTTATGCGTTTTTATGTTGCTTGGTTGGATTTATGTGCATTTTTTTATGTACGGTTTTTAATGTTAGGTATGTATATCCTTGTTTATGCATTATTTTTGTTTTCATCTACAGTTACGTTTTGATTTCTAGGTGGTTACTTTAGGGTTCAGGGTTTCTTTGTTATCGGTTCCCTAATGTATATCTAAAAGTTTAGGGAAATGATTTAGCTTTATTAGTTACATGTTATTTTCAAATAAAGAAAGTCTGGCAATCCGATTTAAGTTTTCCTTTTTTCTATCAAATGTGTCAGTAAAAACTTATCATTGAGCAATTGATTTTGGATTTTTTATTTGATTTTTAACTGTTCTATTTGGTTAGTTTGCACTACGGTCTTTATTGGTAGATTGTTTAGATCTGGATTAGTGAACATGTTGGGCGTGGAGTGAACTTTTATTATTTGTGTGGGGATTTAAGCCATTGGACCTTTTTTAAGGAGTGTGGCAGGTGAAGATTTTGAATAATTCAGGGACATGGTTTGGAGTTTTTGGTTTTATTATGTTGACATGATCAGTTTTACACCTTACTTGCCTGTTATTTGAAACAAATGCCAATGTGAATGAAATTTTTGCCTCCTATATACTAATAACTTGTCAGTATAAACTTCTCATAGCTCCTGATTTTGGATTTCTGTTTTGATTTGACTTTTATTGGTTTAGTTTTGTACCATTGTTTGCTCTGTTGGTAGATTGTTTAGAGCTGGATTTGTGAAAATGATAGTTTTGGAGTGAACGTTTATATTGTTTGTGTGAGGATTTAAGCCATTTGTCTTTTCTTAAGGAGTGTGGCAAGTAAATTTTTTTGGCATTTACTGTTTATGCTGGGGATTATGCGATTGTGTATGGTACAAGTGGCTTAATTGACTGTCATTAACACTATTGCTTTCCATGTGTATTCAGGAAATATATGCCCCTGTTTGGCCCCCATTAAATTTTAATTCGTTTTTCTCTCTTGTCAACCACATACATTCTCTCAATAAATAATATTACACGTAGACCCAAAAATTCCCCGTATTTTTTTACTGCACAAACAAGAGCTATAAGTAGCTGCAAACGGTTGGATGAATTGTTTGGTATGGTATGTTTCACTTGGGGACACAATCTGCTACTTGGTTTCATTAGCATTAATAATTATGGGTTTATTCTCTAAACATATGAAATTGTGGGCTAGTGGCTATCTCGATTTGTTGATATGCTAGTAGATCCTCTTTTGGCTTGCTGCTCTTTAATGTACTTGTCTGTGGTTGATTTAGCCTTTGAATTTGGGGGGTATTTTTGACATTTCTTAAATCTCTTCAGGTTAGGAAGGTGGAAATGCTTGAAGGAGTTAACATTGTTAGATCTGAGAAGGTTAAGGATGAATTGGTTTTGGATGGAAATGACATTGAGCTTGTTTCTCGATCTTGTGCCCTGATAAACCAGGTACCTCCCAATTACTCTACATAGTCATTCTAGCTTACAGTCCAAATCTCTAATATTCATACATCTGCACGTGCTTATACTGAGATTGCTGTTTAAATTTCTAATTGACAGAAATGCCATGTGAAGAACAAGGATATCAGGAAGTTCCTAGACGGTATCTATGTCAGCGAGAAGGGAACCATAGTTGAAGAAGAATGAGTAGTAACCATAGGAATACTGTGTGGTGATTTCTTTTTGATCCGTTATTTCTTTATGATTAAGTTTATTTTGAGACTTGAAGTTAATTTGAGATTTCATATTTGCAATGATTCCTTTTGCTTTTGTAGTTCAACTTGAGTGTTTGACCTATTTCTGTTTTCGTGAGTTTAAATTGTTTGTGAAGTGGGCATGTGAAATGTTGTTGAGCATCCGTCTCTCAACCCGAGTCAAGAATCTCAATATGGCTCGATGATGGTGCAAATTACTTGACTAATTTATTTTTTCCAGAAAAGAGAGTAATAACGTTCCTCAATATGCACATAGTCAATTTAGGTAAAAAAGACTATCCAAATCTTGCTTGATATAACATAGAAGTGGAATGGTGATTTTGGGTATAAAAATAAGGATTAAACTACTTGTACATACAAAGTGTACACTTTAATTGACACCTCTTTGTGTGTCAAAAATTTGGTAGTTGATTGGTAAAAATATTTTCAAGATCAATGTATATATAGATGTTCAATAAACGGAGAATTCCAGCCAATTAAACATTAGTATTTATAAATATGTTCCTGTAACTGCCGTAACTAACTTTTAAAACAGGCCTACCACTAAAGAAAGAAAAGAACTAGTTAAGTTATTGCCAGCGAAAAACATGGTATGCCTTTGTCAATGCCAATACAGGCTGTCTACAAACACGTATTCATTTTTATTGTAACAAATCCCTTAAAACAAGCAAATAGGTTGCTATTCACCTCTATATAATCTCTTGCTTGCCTTCTTTTTGTTTTGGCCTCCAAATTTGTTCAGTCGCGTAGCGCTTTCCATTTTCAAGTTTCTCGTCGTTCCTCATCCAATTTTCTGCTCGCTCAATCTTCCCACCAATTTAGAAAATATCATGGGAGGCTGCGCGGGCAAACCCAGAGACTCGGATCTTGACGAGGCATCAGCCCCTGTTGAAACACTTCAACAAGCCGCCTCTGAGAACACTGAGGTTGAGACTGCTCATCAGGTAACCACCCTATTTGATCATGAGTTAATTTACTATAATTATATGAATCTCTTTTCATGAATTATTGCGTTTATCCCAATGATTCTTGGAACAAAGCAAATGATCCTATCATACTTGGAGTTGGACAAGAACTTTAGAGCTATGGCTCTGGCGCAAAATACCTGAAGTGCTATTGAAAAACGTTCAATTTGGTTTGTGATATACGAATTATGTTTGTTTTCTTATGGTCAGTAGTTGCAGGAGAATAAAGATGGTGAGACTAAGGAAGAACCTTTGCTAGATCTTTCAGAACCAGCTCCAGAGGCCGTGAAAAATGAGGAAGTATCCCCAGCAACTGAGATAAAACCGGTTCTTGAAGAACTTGTTCCGGTCAAGAGCAAGCCAGAAGAGGCAGAGAAACCTGCAGAAGCCGTGGATGTGGTCAAGGAGGAGAAGAAAGAGGTAGCAGATTTTGTTGCTGCCCCTGAGAAACCAAAAGCCTAGGCTTCTGCTCCAAAAATCTGACCAGAAAAGTGAAGCACCTTTAGTTGAAGGTGTTAGATTCATGATGCATTGTTATCACAATTAGAGATGGATTGGTTTTGTTGAGGCTCATGTAATAAAATTTCTGAAGAAAATAGACATATTCAAATTATTTGTACTCGTATTCCTGATATTGAAGTATCGAAAAAAAATTTCTTACCTTTTAAGCATCTTGTTGCCCAGTTAGCAGTATCCATACGAGCAAGCTTCACGTATGCTGGAAAGCATTTAACCTGTATAAAGTTTGAATGTAACCACAGTATAAATATAAATCTCCCTCAAAAACATCAGACGAGCAGCAAAAAACATGCAATACGTATTTATTGGGCATAACTGATGGCATATAATACAAGTTTGCTAATTGGAAAGACGCGAGAGAAATGACAAAACATAGAGGTTATACAAAGAAAATACAAGCAACAGCTTGAACGAACGTCTCTGTAAGGTGAATATCAAACCTGTTATAGATGACCGACTCTATGCCTTGAGCTGGCTGTTTGAACTCATCAATATTGCCATGACTACTGATTATGAGAGCTAAAGAAAGTGTGCTGAGATCATATCAGTAACTTGTTCATAGTACTCTTGGAAGTTGCATACAATTTTAAACATCACATCTTCAATTTTAACGAGGCATTTAAAGTTTATTACTTACCTTCTTTATACAAGGAAAATTTATAGAAAGGAGAAACAAGATACAAAAAAGAGTGATTCATCATCTTTAACATCACTCCAATAGTCATTTTTAGGTAGAGTTCTTGAAAATCAGGGTTCAACTCACAATTTCCTCGTACGCTAATCAGTAATGCACAGTACATGTCAAGGACATTACACCGAAGGTTAAGGATAAGTGAGCATGACTTGATATTGTAAACTGAATACAACTACATATACAGAAAGAAACTTTCAACGTTGAGAATTTTAACTTTCAAATTCTGAAGTCATTAAAAATAACTGATCAATGCACCATTAAATCATCAATGGATTCCGGGGATTGCTGTGCCCTCGGATTTTCCTTCAACTTCATCATCTGTGACAGCTCGCATGACCACCACGACCAACAAAGGATAACTTACTGTGAGGAGTGCCCAATTCACTAATAGTTCATTCAAAAGTGGCACTTTCTGTGTATCAATTTGCCAAGTGACCGCCGCCCCTGCACTCTGTATTCCCTTGAAGAATCCATTATATCTAAAAAATGAGTTCAACGACAGTTAATCCAGCATCAGATTACCACATGTGCTCAAGTTTATTGTGTGTGAATATTATACCTGCTAAGGATCTCGGAATCATCAGCCAATGCTCCAACGATCCAGTAGACCATGCTCTGGAACATGGCATCGAACAATCCATAACTAAAATACAACACAAATGGCCCTGCAAAATGGGTATGATCCTTGAAATCCAGCTTGTACGTCGGCAAATCATGACGAGAGTAATTGAGTTGATTTGCAAGCCCCCCACCCCAAATAGCTGTCCCGAGCACAGCCACAATTCCAATACCAACCAATCCTCGAGTCCTCCTACTCTTAAAACTGAAATCCAATATGTACCCAATAAAAATGGAGCCAACCATCTGTGCAGCCCAGTAAAACACATTGCAAAGTCCCCTAGTCCGCAGATTAAACAGAACCCCACTGACGTTATTGAACTGGTAACTGTAGAAAAAGTTACTAGCCCAGAAGGCAGGCACTAAGAGCAACATTTTCCAGTTGAGGAACAATTTCAAAATCTCAATGGCTTCAACTGACACACTGGAGTACTCTATATTAGTACACCGTGAGCCATCATCACGGTGGACACAGCTAGGATGTGATATTGCTAGTGATAAAACTGTTCCAATGGACATGAAAACCATGAAAGCAATGTAGGTAGCATCATTAACCGAAATAGCATCAGTCCTATGGAAATTCAGTGTAAAAGGAATTAGACCACCTATGACACCCCCCATGCTGAAAATGCTCCAAAACATAGAAATGTAAGCGCCCTTGCGTTCATGGGGTGGGTAAGAGGTCATAATGGCGCCCTGTGCTGCCCACAGAAGGCCGGCGCCAATTCCAAGAAAGGCACCAGCAACTATGGGAAAGGCCTGGTGGTGGTAATGATTGTAATAAAGGAAGGATCCTGCATACAAAACATAGGTAGAACAGCCGGAAAACAGAGTAAGATGAGGACCCAAAATGTTGTAGATACCTCCACCCAAGATTCCAAAGACCGCAAAGGCTGTGTAAAGGGCGGTGTTGGCATTGTTGGCTGCAGTGGGATCCACCTGACCTCCGCCGCCCATCCCAGCAAGAGCGCTGTACATGCCAGGGCAGCAGAAACACACCAATCCAATGATGGCAACCTGAACAAGGGGGGAATTGTGCCGGAAAATGGATGGTTTGGGAGGTGATCCAGGGGACCCTAGTCCAGTTTCTTCATCTCCTTGTAAACCCATGAGGATCTTTGCAGGGTGAAAGGAGAGGAAAATTGAAGGGAATTAAAATTCCAGGGAATGAAAAATGGTGATAGCAGAATTAGAAAGGGAACTCCCAATGAAAAGCCAGTGGCAAATTTTATTTAGGAGGAACTGTCAGAATTTTGTTTCTTGCAGGACTTTATTGCACAAAAGTACAAGAATGTTAAATGTTCTTTTCATATCACAAATTTGATTTTTCAATGACAACTATATGTTTGGTCTTAATTTCCACAAGAAGGGTACATCTGACTACGACCTTCATAGCGTATTTCATTGTATGCAGCACGATGTGCCAGCTGTTTCTGAAAACACAAGTCTTAAGGAGCCCTGTGAATGAAAGGACCATGAGGAAAAAACTATGCCGGAAACATATGCTTCTAACAATAAGTCGCTATTTCTTCATTGTATTATTTGACTTCAGGAAATATAGAACCTTTGCTTGCAATTTGAAGACAAGAACAAAAAGACAAAGAAATGATATATATCTTTCCTGTACAAAAAGAAAATTTCTAGTGAATCTGGAGCAAGATAAGATTATATTCCAACATTGCAGCCAAAATTTGACAGCATTTTCGAATGCCAAAATCGACACAATTGCTTTAATACAGTGATGGACGTGATTTACAATAATGATCATAATAATTTGTATTGACGGTATCAGATGTATACGAAAATATTAAGCTATTATACACACATCAAATATTAGTCAACAAACATCGAGCATTGCTCGTTAATACAAATATGATATAATATGTATGAAAATTATCCATGCGTCTGATCTTTGATAGAAAAATGAATCCAGTCTATACGTGATGGGGTGAGTTGAGGAAGATTTAAATGAATACACTTAGCCTGTCTTTATTTGCTTCAGATATTGGACATATGGTTAACAAGAGGAGAGGCATAAAGTTTTTGCATCAATTTTTGGGCATACACCTCACCGGAAGAAAACTACAAATACAGGAAACTTGACGGTGACCTGGGGGAAAAAAGCCAAGAAAATACTGGTCTTCTTGAAAGAATGATGGTAAATATGTGCGGGCAATAAGATATTGGTTCGAGGAAGAAGCAGGTCCTCGTTGCTAGATTTAAATCTCCTAGAATCTGAAAGTTCCTAAGCAGCTGACATCATCAGGAAATCTAAAGTTATTCGTCTGCAAATTATGCAGAAGTTCTGATAAGGTAATCAACAGGTTTCTTAATGCTTACAATCTGTTAGCCTTTGCAATCTTCTTATATCATTAATTAATCAAGCTAGAAAGTTTACTCATATAAAGTAATGAATGAAGAAATGAACCAAGGCTGAGATACTATTCTGTGCATACCTATATGCCGTGTACTACCAGTTCGGTAATTGAAAAGACAAATAAGAGATTACAAAATTGACACGGATTATTCAAAGACAGCAGAAGAAATAGCTTAGAGCCTTAGACAAAGGTCTTCGAAGGGGACTTGTCGAACCTCTTATAGATGATTGTCTCAGAGAGCAGCATCTTGTGCTGGCTGTTTGTGCATTAGTTATTTGAACTTATTTATATAGCCACTACTGTTGATTAGGAGGACAGCTGCCATATTAGTGCCAAGACATAGCGTGCAAAGATCATTTCAATAACTTATTCATTATTCTTAGAAATTGCACAGACTAATTCAAATTTAGATTCTTTTTACAAGAAAAAATATTAGAAAATATAAACGAGACATGACAAACAGTGATTCAACATCTGTATCATCACTTCAGTAGTCATTTCTAGGCAGTTCTTGAAAATATGCACTCAACTCGACCAAGAACTCAATGAAACCTTATCAGTACTTATGGGGCTGGCTATCCTTAAACTTATGGATAAATAATTGTAATTACAGAATTCAATAGAATAAAAATTTTGCCCACATCGTTTATAGCCTACAATTTAGACGATACCTACTAGTTCATGTTGTTTCGAGCCTATAATTCCTCATATATAGAGGACATCTCACCTATGGATATGTAAGCATAGGGGTTAAGTGTGAGACTGCCTTCTCAAAGGCCTGACATGAAAATATTGCTTGATATGATTTTAAGAGATATAACATGAAAAATTACTTGCTAGAGAACATTAAAAGTGAATCGGCAAATATTAAAGATTGAAGACACATCAAAACAGACATGATAAAACTTTTTAGATATAATTCTCTAAAATGCACAACTGAATAACATCGGGGGAATATAAGTGAACGGACAAATTTAGCAGACTGAAAAGAAATCAACGAAAGCTTGAACACAAAATTCGGAAAAAAAAAAAAGAAAAACCATAAATTTCACTCAGTGAATTCTTTGCGATATGTATGAATGCCATTCACCAGACACTACATTTACAAATAGGGAAACATACACATTGGAAAAAGGAAACTATCAAATTTTTAAGTCTTGAGTTAACTTGATAAGTGCTCCGTCTTGTCATCAATGGATTCCAGGGAGTGCAGCACCTTCCTTTGGTTTTCCTTTAACTTCTTCATCATCTTTGACAGCTCGAATGACCAGCACAACTAACAAAGGATAACTTATTGTGGTGAGTACCCAATTCACTATCAATTCGTTTAGGAATGGCACATTGTGTACGTCAATTTGCCAAGCAACCGCTGCCCCCGCACTCTGTACACCCTTGTAGAATCCAGTATACCTAGAACATGTGTATTAAACAAGAATTAGACCAGTATGAAATTGCCCAAGTGCTATAGTTTACAATTTACGTGTCGATTTCATACCTGCTAAGGATCTCAGAATCATCGGCCAAGGATCCAATAACCCAGTAGACCATGCTCTGGAACATGGCATCAAGCAATCCATAACTAAAATACAACATAAATGGCCCTGCAAAATCAGTATGATCCTTGAAATCCAGCTTGAGTGTCGGCTTATCATCACGAGTGTAATGAAGTTGTTTTGCCAGTCCCCCACCCCAAATAGCCGTACTGAGCACAGCCACAACTCCAATACCGATCAAACCCCTAGCCCTCCTACTCTTACAGCTAAAATCCATTATGTACCCAATAAAAACAGAACCCACCATCTGTGCACCCCAGTAAAATACATTATTGAACCCTCTAGTTCTCAAATTAAACAGAACCCCATTAACATTAGTAAACTGGTAACTATAAAAAAAGTTACTAGCCCAAGAGGCAGGCACCATGAGCAACATTTTCCAATTAAGGAACAGTTTCAGAATCTCGACCAATTCGACTGCCACGCTAGAGTACTTAATATTAGTACACTTTGTGCCATCATTACGCACGACACGACTAGGGTGCAAAATTCCCAGTGATATAACTGTTCCAATGGACATGAAAACCATGAAACCAATATAGGTACCATCATTCACTGAAACAGCATCAGCCCTATGATAATTCAATATGAAAGGAATTAAACCACCTATGACACCCCCCATATTGAAAATACTCCAGAACATGGAAATGTATATCCCTTTTCGATCATGTGGTGGGTACGAGGTCATCATCGCACCCTGCGCCGCCCACAAAAGTCCAGCACCAACTCCGAGCAAGGCGCCGGCGACTATGGCAAAAGCCTGGTGATGGTAATGATTATAGTAAAGGAATGATCCAGCATACAAAACATAAGTAGAACAACCAGCAAAAAGAGTAAGATGGGGTCCCAAAATATTGTAAATTCCACCACCTAAGATTCCGAACACGGCGAAGGTGGTGTATAGGGCGGTGTTGGCATTGTTGGCGGCGGTGGGATCCACCTGGCCGCCGCCGCCCATGCCGGAAAGTGCGTTAAACATGCCAGGGCAGCAGAAACAAACCAATCCAATTAGGGCCACCTGAACGAGCGGCGAATTGTACCGGAAAATCGACGGTTTTGGGACTGATACCGGCGACCCTGTTCCCGTTTCTTCATCTCCTTGTAAACCCATGTGGAAATTGAAAACTGAGAGGCAATTCGAGTAATTTGATATGAAAAAAAAATGGGAGAACAATAGGTAAATTTAGCTCTGCTTATATAACTGAAGAATTTGGATTTGTATGTTGACGCCGGAATTGAAAATTATTATTCGGCAATTTGAACTAGGAAGTTGAGCATCAAATGCCAACTGGATAAAATCGGTAGAATCTTTAATTATTAATATTTAATTGTTGCGGAATATATAGAACAGACGGTGCACAAGAGTAACACAAATTTTCATTAGGATTCTCGTATCATAATTTTGATGGTTCTATTGTAACTTTAAGGTTGGATTTGTTTTCCACGTGATTTGGTTGAAATATTTTGGGAAAATATTATATTCTCTTTTTATAAGAAAAAATAAAAGTTGGATGGTCAAGTCGTGCATTTCACCGAAATGAAGGCATAAATTTGTAACGAGTTGCCGAAAATAGAAAAAAGCCATTTGTTTATGTTTAGAATTGACTCTAATGGTCCATTTGATTGCAAATGTGAAATTTGAATGGAAATAAAATGAATTATAAGGAATTGAATTGCTTAAAAATTTTTCTTACTGAAAATTGTAATTAACTGATATAATTTTCCACCTGAAAAATGTTAAAAGTTTGGTGTCCGTTTGGCTTCGTTTTTTATGAAAATTGTCCATTAAAATGATAATTTTTTTTACCATTGGGTCTAGAATTTGTTCAAATTGCCAAAAAAAATTTTTAAAAAAAAAATTATCATACCGAATACCATTCGTTTGTCTTTGTTTTGTATGAAAATTGTCAATAAAAGTAATAATTTTTTAATGTTAACACAGATGAATTTTTTCCAATTGCAAAAAAAAAAAACAAAAAACAAAAAAAGGAAGTAACCTGAAAAATGGTGGAAATTGGTTTTCCACAAAACCAACGAATGTGGCACGTGTGAGACAAAAGCAAGAAAATGAATTTCATGGAAAAAAAAAGGCATCAAACAAATTAAAGGTTCCATGGAAAAGATTGGCCAATCAAACAGGCCCTAAATTATCGTCAAATCGCATTGTGTCATGCTACGACGTTGTAGCCCGTAGCCAATCAAATGGGTCTTTACTTTTTAAAATAGAATCGAATATATTGTACATATATATTAAAAAAATTCATCTTCTTGGCATAAATGTACAATTACGAGGGTGTGGTCAACCACAAAACTAACACTCCATGGCACAATCTTGGTAGTTTATTTACATATGATTTGATTTTAATAAACTATGAGCAGAATTTATTAATATTACAGAATATATGTTTCAAAGGGGAATCCCTTGTGTACCAATCGTACATAAGAAATCAAACATAATAAGCTAAAACAGAGGTACGCAATCGCAATGCAATGCAATGCCACCAAGGTCCAGAGCAGCATATTCCAAGCAAGAAAATAGGTGTTCATCCTTGTTTTCTCGGTACATTAAAGTTGAAGATAGAGCCAAAACTGTGGGTACTATTTACAAACGTAGATGTTGATCTAAACAATGTAAGTGATCGAAATCATGCGGATGAACGTTAGAAGATGTTTTACGAGTATTATTAGCCTGCCTCAAAAGTCATCTTATTTGAAAAGGAAATTTGGGTTCGTTAAATCAACGATAAATTTTTGTGGGGACCATTTCATCTATAGTTGACCATTTTTTTCTCATTTTCTTGTTGGCAGTATTAGGCAGAGAACCAGCCGGCTGGCCGGCAACGGAATCCCCACCCACATTTGATGTAACTACTGTTTCAGCCCAAAATAAGGCCCAATTTAAATTTGAATTCACTTCACCTTTCCGTAACTTGGCTACGCTTCAAATCCAATTAAAATTGAAAATATAATCGTTATTGGGTCCCACTCGTCAAATAAAAGTCAACAATAACGGCTAATTTTTCAATTTTAATCTGATTTTAATCTCTACTGAACACGCTAATGTCATTGCTGGAATTGTGATGCATGAATGAAGACTTAATTTTTTTTTAATAACAGTTAGTTTTTCAATTTTAATTCGATTTTAATCTCTACCGAACACGCTCTTAATTCTAATATTCTGTTCCAAACATGGCGTAAAGAGTTACGTCGGTAGACGAATTTTGCAGGAACTATACACAACTACAACCCCATATACTACATCAGATTAGAAGAAGAGAAACACAGTTTAATTGTTCGATATGTTGGGTACATCGGATGGACAAATAAGCAAACAAATATTTCGAGTGTCTTCCTTCTCTTATAATTTCCAGTTATTTTCATTCCAACATACCAAACTAGGTTGCGATGTTGCTACTTTGAATTGGATATGACAATGAATAAACATTTTACAGGTCCCCATTTTTTAGTCATAATCAGTTATGTATGCTGTAATATACACGGTAGAAAGGAAAACAAGGCTACTTACTAAAGTAGAAGAGCAATTCAATTCAACGAGTACCGAATCCAAATTACTCTCTAATCATCTGTTAATTCATGACAAAACTACATATTAGTTATTGATCAATCCCACCATTTCAACAAGCTGCCTCCTCGTCCTCCTTCCGGCGGTGGCAATGGCCCTCTTCTTCCGACTTAAAAGTCAAATCCAGAAAATACAGCAAGAAAACCATAACAAGACAACCCAAAAACATTGGAATTGGTCCAAAAATCCACAAGAACAAAGGGAACGAAAAGTAAAATGCCCTAAGGCCTAATGACCAAAAATAACTCCCCCTATTCACTGTTCTCCCTACATACTCCGGCGTCACACAACAATCGTTGTTATAATCATCAAAACTTGAAGCCATTATCTTCTTGCAATTAGGCACATTGATGAGTATACTTGCATGGCTATAGTACCTTATTGATTGCACATTAAGCAAGAATGTCACCAAGAAGCATACCAATATGGAGAAGAACTTTATGGAGAATCCAAGCTCGCTTTTGTTGCCATAAACCACCGCATTGGGATTGTTGCTGCCGCCATTTGTCATCAACACGGCAATGAGGGAACTGAGCATGATCGCAGTTGACGCCAAAAGAGTTGATGCCATTATGTTGTTTCTTAGTGTCTGTACAGCAAGAAGCCCATTCTTTGATGTATCCTGTCCATCCCAAATCATATATTATATTTCCATTTCAGGAAATAATTACTTTTTACATACACTTTATCATCTAGTGAATGAATGAATCGAGCAAAATATGCTTATCAACGTCCTCACAAGTGCATAATTCTTACAAAGCTGCTCATGCACTTTGTTGAATAGGTTAAACCGTGGGAAAGGGACAAATTTGTTTTATTTAAATTGTCTTCAACAAAACCAATCAAATCAGACTTTCTTGAATAAGTTAAACTGTGGGAAGGTTAAACTAAACTGCGAGAAAGAGACAAATTTATTATATTTAAATTGTTTCCAACAAAACCAATCAAATCAAACTCTCGTTCTCTAATTTCTGACAATAATCTGAATTCAAAAATTGAATAACTCAGCTGATAAATGGAGATTAAACATATACTAATAACTCGTCTATCAATTTGCAAATTGCATGCATTATTTCAATTAGGACTGAGTTAATTTATCAAACACATTGCTTGCAACACATCTCTAATGCGTAACATTTCACAAACACAAAATCGAGTAATGTAACTTGGATAGATGAAATGGGTTTGAGACAAATTACATCCATCATGGAGCGAACCCACAACCGACGATTCATTGCATTGATTCCGACGACGGTTCTGGTGGGACGGTGGACGATCAGAATGAGAAGCCAAATATGATAAATCACCATAGCCAAAAGTCCTACGGGTACCAATACAAAATCAAGAATCTGTTTCTCCATGATACCCTAAGTCCTCAGTTCTCGTTTGTGTTACGATCTCTTCTTTCTTTGAATATTATATTCACAGAGAATTTGTGAAAAAGAGTTTTGAAATAAATTCTTGAAACTGAGCCGATACAGACTTGAATTAAAATAAATATTACTATTTTTTTTATTTATAAAATTGCTAAATGATTATATTAAATTAATATAAACTTTTTGCCCTTGCCCACTAGAAATTTTAATATTCGTCTAATGGTTTCTAGTTAATTTCAAAAAAATAAATAAATAAATAGACAGCTGATCAAGAGCTAGACTCTCTACATTCTCCATGTTGTAACTCTTTACAGCAAATTTTAACTAAAAAAATTTAATTACAGAATTAATTTACAATGGAAACCTGCAAATTTCTATGTTAGAGTCGCTGACTAGAGAGTATTACATTTACAGCTTAGGGCGAGTACATAGGCCAACTTGAGAGAAATACAAAAATTAAAAAACTTCCCTTCCACTGTTACCTAATTTTTCAAAAATTACCAAATCCATGAATATGTTTTTTAGTGTTTATTTGAGTCCTTTTTTTTTTTTGGAAGAATAAGTTTTTTTTTTTTGAGAACGTGAGGTTAAAAAGTATGAAGAAATTTTGAATTTATGTATAAAGTTATTTAAATTAGAAGAATATATAGTTGAAAATAAATTTGGAGAAAAATGAGTTTTTATAGAATGGGGCTTAGTATGTGAAGGGACTTCATTAATTGAGTCTAAGAGTCAATGCTGTAGGCAAGGACGGATTCGGTCCATTTCCTGGTCTACTTAATGGGGACCTAACTGCTCCTAAAATGAAATGTTGAGAAGTAAATCCTATGTTTTGAAGAACTTGAACCAAGATGCAACGCACGTCATACCGTCATTGCTATTTTCCCATTAGAATCTCACATTTAGCCTCTGTTTGGTATCCATTCTTTTTTTCATTCTCATTCTTCTACTAATTTTCAACCACACATTCATCAATAAAATAATATTTTCCATCATATCAATAACTTTTCTTTCATTTTTAACCACACATTCTCCATCAATCTACTATTCAATAATACATTCTTTCAAAAAAATGTGTCCCAAACACACTCTAAGTTACTTATTTCTATTTGAATGAGTAATAAGGTGTGATTTGACACAAATAATGTATTTTTTTCTAGAATAATGGTTACCAAACGGTGTCAAAATATATGTATTTGTGTGTGTCTACGTGAGGTTTCGAGTGCTATTTATCCGGATTTGGATGAATATTTGAGCAGTGTGATTAAAAGTATTTATGGATCTCTTAATTTTTGAATGTTTCAGTTAAAAAATGTGTAGTTTGTAGTCTTGTAGATGTACACGTATATACATGATGAGTAATGTTATTCATAATCGCTCACTGCAGCAGTCGCCCTATGTGGCACACACATAACATGTAGTTATTTGATGCATTAATGTGGTATTTTTTTTTTTACCATATTAATGCATTAAATACACACTTGATATGCGTGTGCTACATAGGGCGACTGTTGCAGTGAACGACTGCAAATAGCATTATTCATACATGATCCGGTAAAATACAGAGTTTCTCTTTAATTCATTTGAGGTCGACGAAGTCAATAATGTAATTAAAGTGGTAGAACATTTAATTCCTACGGATAAGAGTATACCTTCGTAGATGTATATATGCGATGAGAGTTTACCTTCGTAGTCCGTAGATGTAGATGTACACTACACGTATATACATATTAAATGGATAAATCAATATAATTTTATGTGGTAAATATCTCAGCCTTAAAGACAATCTGGAAATTTATATTTGCCCTCATGAGTGCTGTTTTTTTCATGAAAACAAGGAAGATAATAGGTTAATCACTACGAATGAACATGGTCTATAGCAAATTAAAGTTGGAATTTAGGTGAGGAAATAGCAAATTATTGTTCATGTTTCTGTGATCATTAGCTAACAATCTAATTCACAAAGTTTTGGTGACTGTTTGCTGGTTCCTTTATCAAAGTTTAAACTACTTTAGTTATATTCTTACTTTGTTAGCATTGAAAATTGTCCAAAGCAGATATAAACTTCAGTTTCTGACCTAACTACCGCTTGGATACGGTGAATTTGCCATCATATCCTTGCCTTCCAGCACCTTACTTCGCAATAACCCAAATTGGCGTTATCAGTAGTTTATCAGTTGTGTGTTTTTGGTGGGAGGAGAGAAATGTGGGAGACTGCTAGAGCGCATACATTCTATCAGGCGTAAAAAATTTGAAGTAATTTTTGTTTTCAACTCGTATAATAATATTTGGCAAATCTCTGGTAGCTGCTACAAATGTTATTTACTTGTCGAGTATTCTTGGACAAGATGGACCTAACTCTATTTACAAGCGCGATTGGAAATGTAAAAACAAACATGTTCCGCTACAGACTAACTGGACTGAAACACATCTGTGACAAAAGCTGGAACCAGAGAATTTTGTACGATAATCATAGCTCCCATTGCAGAGCGAGCAAGCAGATTTTTCCTCCTACTCCAGCTTAGCAACACGCAATGAAAGGTATTAGGAGCAAGCTTGAAGCTGCTGAGAATTCCCCCACTGAGAGTTGCTCTTTAAAGCGCAGAAGGGATTCACAACACAACACCTCACCGTTTGAAAAATCATTCTCTGCTGTTGGTCCCATCTGCAGTCAAATTGGCGAGGGCATGGTTATGAACTAGATACTACAACTACTAATTTCCTATTCACCTTCTCTTTTCCCCCTTTTGAGTTTTACTTTTTCCTGGAACTATTATGGACTGCAAACTTGATAAGTACGTCGATGACGGACCTTATTGTCCTGCCTATGTGTAGGGAAACTTTATATATCTTTGTCTTTTGTTTATAGCTCTTCCAACAGCGCAACTCCTAGGAAATCAACAACTCCAGATACTGTGAACTTTAATGAAGTTTGACTTGCATTTAATAGTGTTACAGCTTGAACTCCGACAAGACAGGGTTCCATTAGAACTCTCAGCATTTCAGTTTGATGGTGCATTGCCAACTATGACGACTACTTAACAGCATTTTTATCATTTTGTTTTTATTTTTCATAATATTAGTTATTACGAACATTTATTTGCTTCACGAGAAGTAACATTGTGTAGATCATATTGATGGGAGCATGTGATCTTCCATACAGTGGATTGTTTTTATTGGTATGTGTTAACTGAACGTGATCTTTATTATCTGGAAAACGTTCTTTGATTTAATAAAGAATTGAATTACTTCTGGCTATCGTAGCATTAATCACTCAGTTTACGAGGAGCAACTGTACTTTCAGGGGATGAGATAGGGATGGGCTTGCTCACCCCAAGCCAAATTTTGTTAAAAATAAAAAATAAAATTGGTTATAGTCCATTTTTTTTACTGTCCAACCTAGTAGCCCACTATTCAACCCAGTAGCCCCCCGTACCATTGAATCCTGGCTCTGTCACTGTGTACTTCGATAGTTGGTAAAGACATTCTTGATTTACATTGGTTTGTTGTGTGTCTCGGGTCGTGAAGGAGCAACAAAGTTTCTCTCATAGTTACTCTTTTAATGATTTTTCCTTCTTTATACACTTGTTTTGGTTGTTCTATGCGTGGGATCCTAAAGTTAAATGTCATTTTTGCAAGGACTGCAGCAGTGGATCAGCACCCGACAAGCTCCGGTGGCCGTTAGTGCTGGATTCGCCGGTATTCAATTTTTTTTTTTTTTTTGGGTCAATGTTTTTATTTTTTGAATATATATACGTGATTTCCTTTTGTTAACAAAAGGTTTTTTTGGTTCAATTGGTTTGAGTACCATATAAGTAAATGAGAAATTTGGGTTCAACTCTCAGCCATTGCAATCGTTTTCACAATTTTTTTTTATGTTAATAGGCATTATAAAAATCGATGCAATTGGAACATTTGAACCTGTGATCTCCATCGGAATTATAAAACACTACTTTACCACCGTGGCATTTGGTGGATAATGACATTTATTGTAACAAAATTTTATATGTTCTTTTATCAAATAACATATATATTCTCATTGTTTTTAAAACTTTTTAACTAAAATTCGAATTTTTAAACATTTTTTTTCCTGTTAAACTGAAATTATTAGCAAATCGAACCAAGAAAATAAATATTTGGACCCATTTTTTAGAATTTAAATTGTTACTCGATAAACATTATTAAATTGGTAGATAACGTAAAGTCACACTTACAATTTGAACTACAATAAAGTAATTTCAGTTCACGACATTAGTTATTATTGTGGTCATCAATGATGAACGACCACCTGTACTCACTCAAAATCCTAAATCCATCGGCGATTGTATTGGGCAGGAGAGTTTGACTCTCCTCGTCCATAAGGGCTTGATCTTTCATATAGGTTCGACTCTAGTACTTGGGTTTGACCTATTCGTGGGGGCTCGGCCAAATTGACACATAGATAGAATGACATGAAGTGTGGGCTGAGGCTCGCTGAGTGATTGTCATGTAGTAATACTTGAAGTTTTGTTAGAAGAGGCACAACAACAATGGCCATCGAAAAAAGACAATTACGTAGTTGTCAACAACCTTTTTCTGTTTTATTTTAATCATCTCTATTTTTCAAAATATATAAATGAAAGAAAAAAAAATAAAGGTAAATGTTAAAGGGTAGTGAATTTCAAATTAGGGCAACCATCTGAGTTTGTCCATTTGCAAAGCAAGCTCGGTGACCCTTTTTATGGGTTTTGGGGGTAATTTTGGCAGTAAACTATATGTTATCCATTCCCTATATCATATCTAAACCTCTCACTATACACTCAAAGGCTAAAACTTCCCCGGTTTCAACACAAATTGAATCAAAAATCAAAGAATCTTCACCAAATTATGGGTGAAAGTAAGCAAGGAGTTATGGTGATGGAAATTCCAACGAAGGCCGGCGGAATTATGGGCCAGGGAGAGCAGAATCCAATTGCAGTTGTGCAGGCCAAGTTCAAGGAACTGGAGAGTGTATTCAAAGGGTGGTTGGCCAAGCAGTCGTTACCTGTGGAGGCCGCCGTCGTCACCACCACCAGCGCCGCCCAGGGTGCCGCCATCGGAGCCTTCATGGGAACTTTGACTGGTGACTCTACCTCCCTGTTTACGCCTCCGACTGAGGGTGTTAACTTGAACCCGGAAGCCATGGCGTCTCTTAAACAAGCCCAGGTCTATTTCTTCCATTGTTCTCTTTGCCCTCGGTAATTTTTATTTGTGTAATAGATGTATGCTAATTGAATATATACATATTGATTTGCTATGATTTTTTTAACTGTTTGGTAAGCTCATGTTTCTGGGTTCTGGGAATTTGGTATTGCTAAGCCTTAAAGACTGTCACTTTCTCTCAAGTTCCGGTTTCTCTTTGCGCTCGTGCTGGTATATATATTTATTTGTGTATAATATATATTGCTTAATTGTATATACACAGTAACACATAATGGTTTGGATTTGACGGTTTGGGTTAGCTCATGTTTCTGGGTTTTGGGTATTTGGTATTGTCAAGCCTTAAAGACAGTCACTTTATCTCGTGTTCCGGTTTCAATTTTTCTGTTTCTAGAGTAGTGTGAGGGTTTCTCCAGCGGGGATTGGTAATAGATCCATAAGTTTATGGTCTTCAACCTTTTGGATTAAATTACTTAAGAGATTGAGTTCTGACTACCTTTGCCAAATTATGATGATGCTTGTTATTGGATTACACACTTAATATTTGTGGTAGAAAGTTTTGAGGAGTTGTAATTTTCAGATAACCTTTGTTGATGTGTTATAACTTATTCGTGAAGCCATTAAATTAAATCGTTTACGCCAAAGATTTTAGCTTGAAGTACACCACTTTCAGTAATCAAATGTGCGTGTTCAGTTGGATATATGATAAGTGACAACAAAGACTTACTCTCCGGTTTTTTAAAATGAAAAATGTCTTACTCTCTGATTTTGCCTGCAGGCTCTTGCAGGAGGTCCATTGATACAAGCTCGCAATTTTGCTGTCATGACGGGTGTCAATGCTGGCATTTCGTGTGTCATGAGAAGATTGAGAGGCAAGGAGGATGTTCAGTCTAGGTAAGCTTACTCAATGCATCACCCATTTGTATTTTCTGTATGCATGCACGAGCAACTAGAGACAAGAAAAGAAAAAAGAGCGCTATATAAAGAGAGCTCAACTCTGTGAATCAACACCTTATTTACCAAAAAAATTAGACATTTTGTGCAAAATAAAGTAATCATTTTTCTTCTGTTTCCTTCTCTCTGTGCATTCAGGAAATTAACTATTTTGTGAACCTATAGATTATTTATGTGTGTGCTTTTTCACTTTGAAATTAACCTATAAAGTTCTTGTATAACTATTTTCAATGTAATTCTTGGTTAATATGTAGTCACATGACCAAGTGCCTACATCCTTCCTGGATGGTAGTTCGTGTATATGCTCATATATGGGTGTTCATTCATTTTTCCAAAGACGACTTCTTGACGATGCCTGATAAAATTATTTCCATTTTCTTGTGAAACTTCAGCAATTGCTTGTAGTGGACCTGGTGGTGGTGTTTGGTGTCATAGAACTTTAAAAGGAGTGACTAGAACCGTCATCGAAACACGTAAACATTACTTGAACTCTTTGGTACAAAATGACCATAAACCTGCCACCGTAGCTTCTCCATTTCACTCCCATCTAAAATGCTATTACTCTTCATGAGGTAATATGATCAGAATTATTTATAAGTGCTATATCTGGGGTCTGCCTCTCTCTCTATTTTATTTATTTATTTATTTTCTTTAGGCTACATGGAACTTTGCTGATCTGTTTTGTCATGTTCTGTATTAGTTTGATCTCACTAGGCTCCAAATAATCTTCTGCATTATTAAACAAGATCTTAAAATCAGGGATATTGCAATATGCTTAGCGCTTAGCAGCTTCAATTGGGTTCCCTGAAAGAGCATATGTATACTCGGAATGATTTAAGTGCATGTTAGTGGATCTTTTTTTTTTTTTTAGTCATAGATTTATCTTCTTCATGTTGAAATGCAATTGCTACTCACCCAGATATACTTGCCAAATATTAATTCCATGGCGGTTTCAGAAGATCCAACCCACCACCTTGTTTCTTCTTCCTTCACTTTTATAACATATCAACAGGTGTATGTCCACAGGCTACTAAATGCTAACAACCAATATTTTTCTTCAAGAAGAAAAGAGGTAACCCCTCAAAAGAAAAAAGAAAAAAAAAGAGAGAGAGAGAGAGAAGAGTGTAAGTTACGAGCTTTTGATCTAAGTGATTTTATCATGGGAACAGAATTTTTATTTGTCTATGTATTAGGAGGGAAATGACCGAGTCAATCGAGGTAGTTGGAAAATTTGTAAGCTTGTCCAAGATACATGATTGACCCCAATATACACACCCTGAAGTTTCTGCGTGATATATTTTCAATCTGAATATTCCTCCTTTATCCCTTGCTTCTATGATTTCTCCTTACACGAACATCTGCATTTCATCCTTCTATATTTTGTTGGCGTTCTATTGCATTGTCATTTCTTCAATCCTACTAGCCGTGTTTGCTGTCTTTAAAATTTATATTTGACTGCTTTCAATTCTTGCAGTATGGTTGCAGCTTTTGGTTCTGGGGCCATGTTTTCATTAGTTACTGGGATGGGTGGACCAAATCAGGCAGCAAATGCTGTTACTTCTGGTCTTTTCTTTGCACTCGTTCAAGGTGGACTTTTCCAGGTGATTTTTAAGTGGAGGAAATCCTGGCCTTTAATTGAATTTATGCCCCCAAGTTTGCTAAATATAATCTGGGATGTGAACATGCTAAATATATTAAAAATATTGCTTAGTTTGAAGACTTCTGTTCCATGATCTTGTACCAATTTTTGACATGGAATTAATGTCTTGAGATTTCTTTCCAGATCATCACAATAGTAGATTTTTCTTTTTGAATGTCTCTATTTTCTAATGTTCTGGAAATTTAAATATCGGTCGATGCAGCTGGGACAGAAGTTCTCTCAACCACCAACTGAAGATGTGAACTATTTGAAAACAAGATCCATGCTGGGATGCCTTGGCCTGCAGAACTATGAGAAAAATTTTAAGAAAGGATTGTTGACTGACAACACTTTGCCATTGCTAAATGATAGGTAAGTATTCGGCTTAGAGCATGTTTGCTAAGCTTAAAAGGTTAACTTACAAGTAATTTACTTTTAAGTAAAATGTAAGTTTTAATATAAATAAATCTTATTGTGGATCTTGAAAATAAGTTACTTATTTTGGCAATAAGGTAAGTTACTTTCAAGCAACTTGTGTACTTGAAACTATGAAAAAAATAAAATATTCAGAAACAAAGTAATTAACTTAGCCTCCGTTTGGCAAATTTATAAATTGTTATAAATAGGAGTAGTAGCGGATTCCACGAAAAATGTGTGGATAATAAGAGTAGTAGTTATGAATGTGTGATAGAAATTAATGTTTTGACTTTGTCTCAATTTACAAAACCGCTTATAAATTGCTTGCCAAATGGAGGCTCATTTTTAGCCTCAGCCTTACATGCTCTAAATGACTATAATTGTCTGAATAAATGTATAGGGTTTGTGCATGTCACTAATTCCTTTTGATTCGCCATTGCGATTACAGTGCTCTCAGAGATGTGAAAATACCTCCTGGACCAAGACTTCTTATTCTTGATCATATAGAGAGGTATTAGCCATGGTTTACCCATAAAAATATGTACAATTTGATCCTTGAAAACGTTGAAATTGTGATTCGCTTGTGTGCTGCAGGGATCCAGAGCTGAAAGAGAGGCGAAGAGGTAGCCATTGAAGTATTGCTAGAAACCATTCCTTAAATATGCTTGTTTAATTATGAAATAGTTTCCATTCTTCTAAATGCAGAGACAACAACAATTTTGTTATGGTACTATGTTGAGTGATGAAATATTCAAGTTATTATATAATTGACATTTTCTCCAAATTATTGTTATGGTTTAGCAGTTATCTAATTGTGCTTTTATCATTCAATAGCATGGAATTGAGGTTTTAGAACCGGAATTAGAAATTATTTCTAATCGTGTCACTTGTTAGTCGACAATGGCTCAAGTGTCCTGAGTTTAGATACTCGGCTTTCATAAACGATTTTCATTCTTATTTTATGTTCGATTTGGAGAACACAGAAGGGACTATGGAGCATCGAATATTTTTTATTTCTATTGCAAATTAAATTACTGAAGACCTGGCATTTAACTTTAGGCAGGTAATGACATCAATTTCAAGATCTTTTGTTGATTGCTTGATCACATTTGTTACCTGAACAATCCATTATTGTGTTGAAATTAGTTTTCTCATATCTGAAATTGGGTAAGCCTGAAATCTTCTCTGGTTTTGATCCTATTAGCTTGCTGCATAATTAGTTAATGCCATGGAGATGATCCTCCACTGAAACAAAAAATGCCATAGAGAACTACATTGCTGCTGAAGTAGATATGTGAAGTGGCCAGAGAGCTCCAGCAGGGCTCGTGATTTTTTAATTGATAGTTTTATTTTTTCACTTTTGTGGCTGATTCTTGAAATAATTAACAAACTAAAAGGGCCCTTTTGGGTAGGAGTGAGTGGGTCAATTTGGACCTACCCGTCTGCAGCTAGGCTTTATTTAAGCTTGTTGCGGGTTTGATTTTGCCCTTTCTGGACTGTGTTTCAAAGTCAATATTGCGGGTCGGTCTAACTCGTAATTTTTATTTTTCCATTTCTACGGGAATTTAATGCGATTAAAATTAGGTCATAATTGAAACATAAATGAAAACAGAAATGGAAGATCTTGGTAAAATAGCTAAGAATGAAGTATTTTTAGCTCAAAATTGATTATGCCCTTGTTTGGTCTGATTAAAAATTAGATTTTGATAAAAGTTGGTGAAATATATGATTGAAAAATTGATTTAAAAAAATCTTATAAAAATGTATGATTGAAAACGAGTTTAAAAAATTTAACTAGTCAGTTCACCATATTTCAATTTCTTAAATTTTTGAAGGAATTGAGTAAATTATTTTTCATGACATGTGAAATCATAAAGGGGAAATCGGGTTTAAGCTCCCCAAACTTTCCGTGTTGTTCAACATCGCTGATTTAGATCTCTAAGCTATTTATATATGTCAATTTGAGTCTTTTCATGATCAGAATTGTCAACTTAAACATTGAAATTTTATGTGACTTTAACATGACTTGATTCTTGAAGTCGAAACACTTTGTATTTATCTCTAATTTATTTAAAAATTAGATTGACACCCAATTTGATTAATTGAAATGGGTTAGAATTCCAGAAGTTCACTTTTAAAAACTAAGCCATTTGGCCCTCGTTATTTCACGGTAAATTATAATTCATTTTTCTTTTTCTTCTTATTACGTATAAATTCAAAATTTGTTCCTTATTTTTTAATTACACGTTTTGTTGGGCGCTGACGTGGCGGACAGAATTCCTAGATGGCGTCCGACGGTTGTTAAAAAATTACAAATCAGCAAAATCATTGTTTTATCACTCACCTAACTTACACTATGTCACAGTTTACTCACCGAACTTCAAAATGTTTCACAATTGTCACTCATCTCTAAGAATTGCACTCCATCTATTATTCGTCATATTTTATGCACTTCTTTGCTAATTTATTGTCCGAAAATTTCACGGGTAATTAAAATCATCAAAAAAATTATAACTCAACCAAACCATCAACACATGGAAATCCACATATGATCAATTTGATACAATTAGAAGTAAATGAGTGACATATAGACAAATTATTTTCACAAATCAAGTTAAGTTTCCGATTTTTAGCTTTAGATTGAAACATATTTTTCACACAATAAACGTTCGAATTATAAAAGTGATATTTCTAAAGAATAATTGAGGACGCTTTATTGGGATTTTAAAAAATTTATGAGGTCGTGAAAGTCATGTTTCACACATAGTGATTTAGTAAATTGAAAGTTTTATTGAGTTGTGATTTTTCTAACATTTGTAACTTATTATGTGGATTTTCTATGCGAACATTAACAACAAAGTGAACGAAATATGACGAATAATGAATGGAGTGCAATATCTCAACGATGAGTGACAATTGGGAAGCTTTTTGAAGTTCGGCGAGTAAACTGTGACATAGTGTAAGTTGGATGAGTGATAAAACAATGATTTTGCTTATTTGTAATGTTTTAACGCCTGTCAGACGCTATCTAGAAATTTCGTCCGACATGTCAGCGTCCAACAAATGAATTTTTGACAGTGGTGGATGAAGAGGTAAATGACAAAGTTGAGTGAGTACCGTGAAACAGAATGAAGTTCGGTGAGCAGTCTGTGACTATGGTATAAGTTCAGTTCGTGATTTTATAAACAACTCACTCTTAGATTTCAGATTTTCAATCTTAAGAAAAAGAATAGAATATTACAGAAGAAAGTAAACTATGAATTTAAATAACCCAAAAATCTTTCATTTCCACAGAAAAATAAAAACTCAATGCACAACTCCAATTTAGCCAGCATAGAGGAAATTTCCCAAAGAAGGAAAAAAAAACCTTCAATGGATTTAAACAAGGGGGAAAAAAAACTATTACAGAATCTCAAACTATAAAGAAAGTAAAATTTAAGCATGTTTATCCGTACTGAAGATCGAGCAGCCTATTTAACTGCTTATTTTCACAGTAGGAAAAAGTAATTAGAAGTCACTTTAAAGCGCGGTTGAATTTAAATTGAGGATTGGGGAGAGAAATTGAAGCTTCCCGAAGAAGTTTCTGTGCAGAACAAAGTTGTTCCATTAACGACATCGTACGGACCCTGTAATCTCGGGCTTGATCGAGCGCCTCCGCCTCGAGCTCTCCGAGCTGGGAACACAGCCGCTCCTCCGCCTCTTCCGCCACTCTCAGCCGCTCCCATGTTCTTTGTAATTCCTGCTTCATTTTCTCCTCCCTCTC